TGCTCAAGAAACATTGCATATTATTACCAATGTTGAAAACAGTTGTGCAGATTTTTGTGAAGATTTTTTTTTCAAGATTGGTTGATGAATAGAAAGTTCAAAACAACAGCACTGAACCATAGTTTGAACCATAGTGTGTACTAAAGTTTGAACCATAGTGTGTACTAAAAACCCAAATCCATAAAACTGCCCAAAAACGGCCTCCTCAATTTTGATGTCCAGCATGTAGCACTGATATATGTATGTAGGTTGCCATTGGAGAACTATTCTGAGACATTTTAGATTCATTCACTCATTCATGCTTTTTCTCTTCTCTCCCATCCCTCACTTTCCCTCTTTTTTTCCAGGGCTATCCGGAAACCTGTCATAGCTTCAACCATGCGTGGTGGGGCAGTTCTACCAGACTGCCTGCACTCTGAAGGGACATCAGTGTGTCTGGTCCGACTGAGGCCAGAGACATTTGACTGGAGCTGTCATGGACTGGGACACAGGGACAGGTTTCAATTATACAGTTCAACCCCCACATTCTCACTACGCTTAAAGAAAACTCATACCAGATGAGACCTACAAAAGGAGCTTTTCATATGCACTCATGATTTATCTACCCCAAATCTACTTCGAAATGCAAACAGAAAATGCAGAGGAATCTCGAATCTTCATATCTGATAAAGGAGGACCCAGCTGGCTGTACCAAAGCTCCTTGGATTTTGTAAAAACTCAGATCCACTTTAAAGTCTACAAGACCTTCTACAATGATGTCTGGTAATACTGTCAGAACTTTGCCCACAGAAACAGGCTTGCTAACTATTTTCTGCTGGAATGTGACCTTGCCAGACGTGCCCTCAAACGTCCCCGTCAAGATTGTGGCACTACGTAAGCAAAATGTGTCCGGTTCCTTCAGGTGTTCCAGGAATCATTTGACATTAGAGATGAACCTAAATAATTTAAACCTGCATTTGTACCATGAACCCAACTGGACAGCCTGTTTTAGTGGATTGTATTTTTTCTTCTGAAAACGAAGTTTCTTTTTATCTTCAGATGATTCTGTTCTAGGAACGAAAAGATAAAAAACTAGTTCCCCATGTGACAATGACGGCAGCATTTACAGTGAAATGATAAGTATCTTTGGTCACAAAAGGCTGTGTTTATGTTGTGTAAATTACAAAGCTCTGTAAGTGTCTGAGAACTGCAGATGACAGATGTAAAAAAATAAAAAACAATGACGTGCTGCATTGTAGCCTAAAAATGACCCAAGTGTGGACCTGCCCAAAAGACCATTAAAAAAACCCACATCAAAACATCAAGATGATACAAAGTGTTTTTGGACACGCAAAACGGCGTGAATGTGTTGTTTTGTGAAGACTTTGATTTCAAGTAATGATAGGATTCTGAGTTCTAGTGTTGTGACACCATGACTCAGCTTGTGATATATTAGATTTGATTATAGATTTCCTGTCAAGGTTAGGCAGAAACATTCTTCTAATACTGTGTGAAGTGCATTGGCATTTAAGTTACTTTACAGGCAACAGTTTTCTACTGAAAGAGGCTAAACTAATTTAAGGATTACCTTTACTTTGCGAAAAGCAAACTGATTTGGCATTTAAAAAATAGGGATTTTTTTTTGTTTTTCAGTCAAAATTCGGATTACACAATGTGCTTTTACCTGAGGGCAGTGCTGTTCATATTAAATCTGCATTGTACATTCCAGAATGCACTGTCACATTTTTACATGACATACCCTTTACCGAAAGAAACATTTGCATTTTGTCATATATTTGTATAGTTTCCAGACCTACAGTTAAGGACTGTTCTAACTGATCATAAAAGTTATATATTAAACTGATTTGTGATTTTACCATTGAAATTAATCGTGCATATTTGTGTATTTGACATTGCATCCAGGTAGTTTTGCTTCTTACATTTTACATTAAATGATTATTTTCGAACATATTATATATGATAGGTTGTTTGTGATTGTTATAAAGCAACATTTTTTTCCATTTCCTTTTATACTTTTTGTTTGTGTGTACGAGTATGTGTGTGATGTGGGAATTAGTTCAGAGATAACAATACTCCCAGCTCAAGCTGTTTTGTGAACTTTTTATTTAAAATAAAGTGAGCCTGCACAACTTGCATACATTTTTAGAGAGAATTTTTAAAGAGGTTTCTTTCTCTGAAATTATTTGTTTTATTTGGGTCATTCCTACAATTTAAACTTAAAATTTTAAAAAACTAAAAAAAAAAAAAAAAGTTTTTAAAAGTGTGTTTGTTTCATCATAAACTACAGATTATACAGTTCATGCACTTAGCCTACTTAAATATTATTTACAAAACAAACTTCTAAACTTGTTAAACTTGGGCTACAACAATTTTGGAGATGTGACCTAGGCTGATAAATCAGTCAGCTTCGAGTAATGCTGACCACATGAATTAATAAACTACTAAATCTACAAGAGTTTCCTGAGGGAACCTGTTGTGAATTAGCCTTCCAGGTTGGCATACTAAGTAATGTCATGACATACAGGTACAATTCGAGACTAACACAATAAAACATATGAATTATTTTCAATGAGTCCGTTAAAACACACATTTAAGCCATTTTTTATACAGTGAAAAGTTAAAACGATAAATATCATAGCTTTAGGGACTTTTAGGCACTTAATTGTAAGAATGACACACATAGCGTACCGAAACTACATTTCCCACAATGCTTTTCGCGACGTCTTAACAGCTGACTGTCGAGTCCCGCTTCACGGCGAGTCGGCACTGAGTGGAGAGTTACTGTATGTGTGCGATGAAGTGCAGGAGGAAAAACTCAAGCCGATCGAACAGGTATCACAATACAGCTGTCTGCGATCCACCCTTTACTCTACAAACATACAGAGATAAATGATAGGGAAAGTGTCGATGCGTTTTTACGCAGGTGCACCTCTCCTTGACGTTGCTATCTGTTGACCCACATCGAGCCAATTAATTATTTTTTGGAATGGTATGGAACGGTTATTCATACTGTGGAATACAACGTTTAATCGTTCTGATGATGAAAGAAAATGAATCATCATAAGAACATAAATCATCATTGCGTTAGTTAACCCCCTTCCTTCGCTCCTGCCCCAGTTTCAGCAGGTGGCTGCTGCGCGCTAATGACGCGTTATTATTATAATGAACTGTAGACTGAGGTCTCCCTCCTGACACGACATGTGTTCCCATTAGTGCACCATGGAGAGATCACATCCTAACTGACCCCCAACCGAGATTCGACCTTTGAGATGTCGATTTAATGGCCTCGTGCATTAAAAATATTGTGGTGTATAATGATTCTTTAATACCAGGTGGTATGACCTATATTTTAATTTAACACACACATTCTTTTTGTAAAATGTATAGCCTACATTATTATAGTTATATTTTACTTTTATAGAAGTTTTAGAGTGTAGGTGGGATGGCCAGCTCAGAATAAGGACACTTGGAGAACAGTGAAGTCAACTTTTAGCATAACACACTACAACCTTTGATGTAAAATATTTACTTGAAGTACGCTGTGAGATTTTAAGTTCTCTATTTCAATCATTTAACAACACATTTGCATTGCAATAGTTTAACAGCACATTTCTCTGATGTTAATTAATGGTCACATGGCATGTAATTAAAATGAAAAGTTTTTATTAAAGGGGTGATATGATGTTGCTAAAAAGAACATTATTTTGTGTATTTGGTGTAATGAAATGTGTTTATGCGGTTTAAGGTTCAAAAAACACATTATTTTCCACATACTGTACATTATTGTTTCTCCTCTATGCCCCGCCTTTCTGAAACACATCGATTTTTACAAAGCTCATCGGTCTGAAAAGCAAGGTGTGCTGTGATTGGCCAGCTTTCCAGTGCGTTATGATTGGCCGAATACCTCAAGCGTTTGAAATTGCGTTGCATCGCGCCGTGTAAACATAAAACCATGTCTGCATTTGTGATTGGAGAAATGACAAACAA